AGAATGGTGAAGTTGCTGACGTGAATTTGGCATGCAGTGTCCTTAGCTGGATTCTTAAGTGTTGAAATGTAGTCTGTACTTCTGCCACTGGGATCCTGTTGCCCAGCATGTGGTTTACAGTAGTGTTTCTTTTTCTGTCTTTGTCATCACAGCCTATTCATACTTCTTTTATTTTCCAGTTCCCTGTTGGCCGCATCCACAGGCACCTGAAGTCTAGGACTACCAGCCATGGGCGTGTAGGAGCCACAGCTGCTGTGTATAGCGCTGCAATCCTGGAGTACTTGACAGCTGAGGTAGAGCTCCTGCAAGGGGGTGGCAAGCAAGTTGGTCAACTCCAAAATGGCATAATGACTAGGGCCTGCTGTATTTTGCCCATTTGGACTGGGCTGTGAACTCTTCACTTGCCTTAAGTTCATACATCATCAGGAGACCATGAAATCTGCATGGGACCTTTTGCTCTGCATTTTGTGCAGATCAAATTGCTGGGACTTACAGGAAAGGTGGAAGTGTGAAGTGTTTTATAAAATGTGCCATTACAGGATGTTGGTTGTGCTGTAGAACACTCTGTTCTTGGGGAAAACCAGGTGCAGAGCTTCAAAGGAAGGAACCCTTTCAAAAGAGGCATTGTTTGTTGTCCTGGTGTCACTAACAGTGTATTTGGCATACAGAATAAAATAGCTAAGGCTTTGCAGTTGGTGTCAATTGATTTGGGTTACTCAATTTAAAAATGGTCTTGTCCTCAGGTTCTTGAGCTGGCAGGAAATGCATCCAAAGACTTGAAGGTGAAACGTATCACTCCCCGTCACTTGCAGCTTGCAATTAGAGGAGATGAAGAGTTGGACTCTCTCATTAAGGCAACAATTGCTGGTGGTGGTATGTAAATTGCTCACTAACTGTTTGTGATGATTTGGGTGGTAAGAACTCAGACTAGAGGTTGCTTAATGCTGTCATTTTTATTTGAAGTGTGAAGTTTAGGAAAATAGTTGAAGAGAAATAACATGGTGTTAATTGTTGCTCTTTCTTAGGCGTAATACCGCATATCCACAAGTCTCTCATTGGAAAGAAAGGACAACAGAAGACTGTCTAAAGGATACCAGGATTCCTTGCTATCTCAGGACTCGGAGTACTTAATTGTCCAGTGTTGGTGATTCCAGTGGACTGTATCTGTGAAACACAATTTTGCCTTTTGTAATGTTGAGAAGCTAAAGCTCCCTTGAGCTTTCTAACAAACCAAATTTCTGCATTGAAGTCTTAACCGTATTTAAGTGTTACCATGGCTTCAAAGAAGCTATTGTATTTGTAGTGGGTTTTGATCGAGCTGACTGTTTTTAGATTGGTTTAAGTAAAGGAAATGTTTGGTTTTGTACAGACTTTTCATCCACTAGAGTGGAAATATTCAATAAATGTTATATCACGACTGATAGTCTCTTGTCCATCTAACTGAGAAATACTTGGTCCCAACTGTGCAGCTCTCAGAGTCGCTCCAAGAATGTGCAACTCTGACAATCCTACCAGCTGTGCTTGGGGTATCTGGAAATGCAGTCCTGGAATACTGCACTCCAGTAAATACTATCAAGTGAAAGGGTGCACAGGTTTTATCCTGTGGAGTTAATGTTGCTAACTGAGCCTGCTTTGTAGGGTGACAGTTGCCTTCAGCACGGCAGATGTAAGGTGCTGGTGCTGCTCAAGGGCAGTTTTACTTGATGTCAGCCTTCATAGAGGAAGGGGTCTCTTGTGGAGGAAGAAGGAAAGCTGAACTGATGCTGAAAATCCACAACTTCTGTTCATTTTCCTTATGGTAGAGCCTGACCCCTCACTTCTATCTTGTAAAAGACCAGGGAGAGACACCTGTAAAAGCAGGGGCTGTATTGAGGCACCCTCCATTGGTTCATAGTGTGTGAACTTTGAGGAAAAAGTCTAAAACCTACTTCCAAGGTAGGAGTCAAGTAGCTCTGTCTTGATGTGGCTTTTTCACAGTGGGCTTTACCTCTGCTGGCTGCAGGGAAAACACTTTCTCTCTGTTAGTCTGAAGCCCCATAGTGATCAGGGGCCAAACTAGTAAGAACAGAGCATTAAAGCTATGGTTTTAACTTCTGCCATGCAGTAGAATCCTCATAGCATCAGGTCAAAGAGGGTTCTGGTCATGTCTCCTTCAGCTGTGCTTCTCCAACTCTTGGCAAGTTCATTCTTTCCACAGATCACTCACTGCCTGTTGCTGTGCTAAGGGAAGCCTCATCCAAAAGGTGCTGCTGTCAAGGCTAATTCCTGTGGCTGGGGGCAGCAAGCCCCAGGCCTTCCTTCCAGAAGTGCTTCTCCAGCAGCTAAATACCTCCAGGAAGCCTGCTTCTGCAGTGAGCAGGTTTTTCTGTTTGTGTCACCTCTCTCAGGTGACGATCTCTGTGGCAGCGCTGTAGCTGGAAGGCGGTGACCTAGATTGTCGGTGTCGGCTAGACACTGCGCTCATCCTCTGGAGCTGCCGTGCTTCGCTGGGCAGCCCCTGAGTGCTTCCCAGCACAGGCAGGGTATAATTGATGCCGCTAATTAAAGTGAGCAGTTATAAGGTGCTTTCAAGTGCCTTAAAGTGCAGTTAATGCATTGTAATGGATGACAGCGCGTGGGCTCCCCTCGCATCCCCACGGGCCCCAGCA